TGGATGATCCTGGCCTGGGTCTCGAGTGACACTTGGTGATCTTTTCTAGTTCTAATACGATAGCATTACATGTGAAATGTAATGCCGTCTTAATACCCAGATAATTTCCTTTCAATGCCTGCAGCTCCTTCCTTTCCCATTACTTCTCAGGACTCAAGATGACATCAAGTTGGCTTCTCTCCCCCCCCCTGCTGCCTTTTTATTCCTCTCTGCTCCTTAACGTCATAACCCCTTGCTCGATAAGGCAATGTAGGGAATCTCAGCAGCAAAGCATGCTTCTTCATGCGGCCTGATAAAGATAATTTCCTCATGCAAATTTTCTAATTCCACTCTATGTAGTTTTTAAGGTGGGGCTTCGATAGTGTGCCGTGCGTTCATTGCCTTGCTTTGGTAGACCTGGCTTTAACAAGGGGTTATAAATCATGTGCTGAAACAGAGAGACTAAATAAAGGGAGACAGGCTGATCTCTCCCAGTTGGAAAATAACCCCATCTGCTCGTGAAGCAGCACCGAATGGGGTGGTAGAGTCGGCTGTTCCCTCTTCAAGCTGTAGAATCCTGCATTTTTCTTCTTCTTCTTTAAGGCACACTAGAACTGTATAAGGAGGGTAGACAACGCGAACCTGTCTGGTTTCCCATCAGCCTAGCTTTTTCCTATCAGAGGTGGCACTTCTGTAGGGAGTTTGGGTGTGTAGACAAACCTGGTGTCAAGCCTTGTCTTTTCTTCCAAGTGCTTATTTGCCCGCTGGAGAGCAGAAGTGAGATTTGGCTTCCTCTTCCCATCTTTTTCTAAGACTGGAGGTGATTGGGATCTTCCCAGCCCTCCCCACGCTGGTACCTTCTACCTGACTACAGCTCCCATCATTCCCAGACAGCATGGTGGCTGTGGGTAGTGGTCATTGTAGTCCATGTGGTGGCCATTAGGGCAAGGAAGGCTAATACAGCCCAAACCAGCTATGAGATAGGGATCCATTTTGATCTTGAGCTGGCTGGGTAGGGATATAACTTAATAAATTGGAGCATCTGATTTCCTCATGGCGCCTCCCTAGAGGGGAGCCACCCTGTCTGGTCTTCGGTAAGCTGCCCAAGCCCTGAGCACCACAAGGAGAAGGAGAAGGTAAACTACTCCTGTACCTAACAAAACCTGGGAAAGGGGCACCAAAAGTTAGCAAAGATGTGACAGCACACACACTTCATTGATTGATTCTGCAGTGCCGACCGGGAGATGTGGACCAGCGGTGGCAGGTCTGTTCAGCCCAATCAGGCACTGCTCCACTTCAGGCTGTATCTGGTCATCCCATTCCCTGCAGCTTCTTTACCAGAGGTGGAGAGTCAGTGGCCGTCTACCTGTGCTCTCCCTCCTGCTTTATCACCACTTTGCATGAGTCTGCGTTGGAGGGAAGAAGGGCAAGTAACAGTAGCTACTGGCAGGCTGGCATGGCCATCCTCCCCCATCGTCATGTGTTCTGTTCCACCAGCTACAAGGGCCACCAGCCAACCACTTCTGAGTATTCTTTTCCTGGAAAGCCCTGAAAAGGGTCACTGTAAGCCAAAATTGCTCATTGGAGGGACAGATCCTGTCTCACTGGGGGGACAGATCCTGAAGCTGAGGTTCTAATACTTCAGCCATCTGATGGGAAGAGAAGACTCCCTGGAAAAGACCCTGATGTTAGGAAAGTGTGAAGGCAAGAGGAGAAGGGGACGACAGAGGATGAGATGGTTGGACAGGGTCATCGAAGTGACCAACATGAATTTGTCCAGTCTCCGGGAGGCAGTGGAAGGCAGGAGAGCTTGGCATGCTCTGGTTCATGGGGTCATGAAGAGTTGGACACGACTTAACGACTAAACAACAACAAAGCCAAAATTGACTTGATGGCACATTAAGACTGGGGACTATGAAAAACTGTGACCCCTCTCTGATTCTCTGCAGTCATTGGTGGCTCTGTCTGCTTTCTGGCTCGTTCTGTTCTCTGGAAACCAGGTTCTGGATTGGGGAACCCAATGCTGCCTAAAATGCTGCCCCACGGCCAAGGCCTCTAAGACAGTCAGATGCGCTGTGTGTTTCCACCGGAGAGATCTCGTGGGGTGCCCTTAACTGATTAAATTCTCCGCCCTGCCCTCTACCTCCCTTTCCTGTTATGCCGATGGCAGCTTTTATCTGTCCTCTGTCCCCACCGTCAGAGCGGGGGAGGGAGTATTGATCTGCACGATTAAGAGGAACCGATAATCGCCTTGAATTAATTCCTCATAACTCCTTTACAAATAGTTTGCTTAATGCGTCTTGAAGGTGGCATCTCAGCAAGGATAAGTCTTGGAATGGCTGGCAGGGGTATCAGGGCTGGGGGGGGGGAGAGGGAGGATGATGGGAGGGAGGGGGGTTGAGGAGAGCATCTTAAACCCAGTCAGTGATGCAATCTAGCGCCTTCCTCACTGGTGTGGTTTCCTGGGATTACACAAGGGCAGTTCCACCTTGAATAGCCAGCCTGGTCCATGCATAGATGTAGACATGCGTGCATGGTGGTGGGGGGCGGGCGGGTTTTGTTTCAGCAAAGATGGCATGAGATGAGGTGAGGGACGGAGGCGGCAGAGGAGGAGGGCAGCTGGCCCAAGGTCCATTAACATCTGTGGTGCCCTGTGAAAATCTGGGGCCAGACGCCTGTCAGCAGCACCTCCCTCTAATGACTTTTTGGCCATAAACTTTATCTGATTAAGGAGAGCTGGTGGACTAAGAGATTATCACTCCCTCGCCACCTCGTCCTCCTTCCCTCCCTCCTCGCAGCTCAATAGCAGCCCTTCTGGTCTGAGCTGGGAGGGGGGAGGAAGGCGGCGGGGGGGGGAAGAGTTGTCATGGAGGGGGGCTATTTAAAGAGAGGAGGACTGGTGGGGTAATAGAGCAGATGATGTATCGTCCCAGTTGTCCCAGTGGTCACAGTGGTCTTTGTGGAGGCACCAAGCAAGCTGTCACGTGTGGTTCCTTGCCCCAGAGTGCAGGGTAAGGCCACTGGTCATGTGAGTATGTACCCACACCCAGCTTAATTGGTTAGTGTTAAGCAGTGTTTTAATGCTAAGTGGTGTTTTCACTCATTTTCTGCTTCTTGAAACATTGTGGGGTGCAAACCTAACCCTGGTTATCCAGTCCACCAGCCGGGGGGGGGTTAGGCCTGCTGCATTGTGGGTGGGGGCTTAAAAGAGGGGGAAGCCTTCCCAACCAGGTTGGATTAACATTTCTGGATGTGTGTATTTCCCCCGATTTGATGCCTGAATTCACTTCCTTTCGACATCTCTGCCCATGCTGTTTTCCTTTTGCATCATAACTGTTAAGAGACCGTGAGCCCGCAGGCAAGGCTGGCTTTCTGTTTTAATCTCTGTACATTGTTCAGACCATGTTAGATGAGTTAGAAGTGACTTCTGTGAGGACTGGTACGACGACCAACTCTTGTAGCTTGTCATGTTTTCAGCTGAGCAGACCAGAGTATTCCTGGAGATGGTCACCTTTAAACACCAAGTGATACTGAACGGCTGGCAATACTTACCAGGAAAAGCAATCCCAGGAACAGTGGAATGAGAGCAGCTGTCAGCTGAGAACGGTGGGCTAAATCAGAGCCTCGGAGAAGACCTGCTCTTGTGTTCCCAGCAGGAAGAGGAACAGGGCTTACAGACTAGTTGCCTGAAACAGAAGCAGGAAGAGTTGATGGGCCATTAGATCACCTGGAATGTGTGTGTTTGTAGAGTCTTCATTTATGGAATACAGTAATTGCATTGAGGACTTCAATGTCTTTTAATCTTGATGATGCTGGGGATGAGTTTTTGGGTGATGTTGTCTAGAAAAACTAAAAGCCACATTTCCAAATCCTGATCTGGACTGGGGGCTGTCAAAATGTATTGCATCCTTCATCATATCAGAGTATTTATGGGTGGAGAGAAGACGCTTTATGACTGCTGTTTTATTGAGAGCTGTCTGACTTCAGAGAGTCCTTTGGATGTGATTTTGTTTCCCATGGTCTAGCTCTCCCTGTGCCTTGCTATTAATTATTTTAGCAGATCTTGCATGGTAAGGAGACTATATGAAACCTGCAGAACCCATGCCTTGCTATTAATTCTCATTTTAGCAGATCTTGCATGATAAGGAGACTATATGAAACCTGCAGAACCCATTTAACCATGGGGTACATCATGAACTTGGTCTCCCTTTCTCCAAACCTTTTCACCTGACTGAACAGTCATGCTGGGGTCCCTTTCCCCAAACCTTTTCACCTGACTGAACAGTCATCATTGTCTGATTCTCACCATAGACTTCTCAGTCGTTGCACTGATGAGAAAAATAGCATTCGCCGTGTTGTGTCTTCATTTTGCTTGGTCCATCTTTCACATCCTCCCCTCTTCTCCTGGTTTGTGTTCACCCTTCCAATTATTGATCCAGTCATACGATTCTCTCCTGGATTTCTATTTTCCTTCCATTTGGAATGGGCAGACGTCCACCTTACTTAGCTGAGGGTTTCCTGGCAGAAAAATGCCAGCTGTGAGAAGAGGGCATCTGGGGGAAGGACCAGCAACCTGGCTGCTCATGTTATCGATGTCAGACAGGACTGGCTTGAGAGGTTGGGGACTGGAAGCCCTCTCCCCCCCTTGCCAACAGTTCAGATACTGGCTGTCCTTGACAGCAAGGCTCGTTTTGAAAGGAGCATCTAAGAAAGTCCGAGATGATGCACACTCATGCTTTTGCAAGAGATAGGTGGGTGGGTGGATGGATGGATGGATAGATGAATGGATAGATAGATGATAGATAGATCATAAAATAAAAGTTAAAAAACTATAAGCAAGAGGAGGGGAGAGTCCTCATAGTGATATAAGAGGGTTATATGAGAACATTTTTGTTAGTGGCTCCCATGGTAAACCTAGGGGGAAGGGTTCAATTAGAACAGGAGGAGCTTCAGGAGAATCTTTTTTGTTTGCGAGGGAAAGCCCTCGGCTGTCCTAAGAGTCTCTCTGTCTTTCTCCTCAGCCGGGACAACGACCTCACCTCCTTCATCTCCAGCCTCCACCAGAGTCGCCCACTCGGGATGCCAGAGACCCAGAGCCGCTGCGAGTTCAAGAGAAGCAGCTTAGAGGTCGGCTTGGGAGGCACAGGTAAGTTCTCGGCGGTGTCCTCTCTTCCCTGCGCTTTGCCCCTCGCTTCCACTGCTGCTGTCCCCCCAGGGAGACTTTGCTCTGTGGGAATTGGGGAAAGGACTGGCTCTGGTGAGCTGCAGCCTAGCCGTCCAGGGCCTCCTTTAGAAAAAAAAAGGGGGGAGGGGGAAGATAAAGGAGTCTAAGCAGAAGAAATGAAAATCCTCCCGTCTGATGGCCTTGCGTAAGCACTGCACCGGAGAAACAAAACACCCTCCGGGGAGTTTTAGCGGGGCAGCGAAGCAGAAAGCGACCTCGGTTGGGTTTGTAATTGCATTAATCAGAAGCTTGTCGCGCGGCGCCTCGGCCCCTGCCCGGCCCCTTTGCTCGAGTGGCTTTGCTCGACTTGCTCCCTCCCCTGCCCCTCTGACCTTTGCAGAGTCAAGCGCACGAACAAGCGAGCGCGCGTGGAGGGGGGTGTGCTCCAGCTTCTCTGGCTGCCGAGGAGACAAAGGGGAGGAGTAGGGGGTGTTGTGCGAGGAGAGAAGGCCTTGGGGGAGGCAGGTGGGGGGGTCTTTTTTTTTCCGCCCCTTTTCTCCCACGGAGAGAGCACCATGTTTGGGTGCGTGGAAGGGGCTGGGTGTCTGCCAGTAAGTGAAGCAGCTCCCGGGTGGCCCTTCCCTTCATCACCTCCTCCTGGTTTTCACCATCCCCTGATTCTAAAACCACTAATGGGTCTGAAAAGGGGCCGCGCTGGCCAGCCACAATGAGACCAGTAGGATGAAAGGCGGGTGAGAAGGTGGAAGGGAAAGTTCAAAGCTATTTATTTTCTTATTTATTTGGACGTTGCAGTACCTGTGGAGAGCCTTCCCAAGAGAGGTTTGCCTGGAACCCACCCCCTCTTAAATGTCAGGCTAGGATCTTCCTCGTCCAGCAGCTCTTTAGTCTGTTATTTGTTTATTTACTGTCGTTGCTGTTAAGCCTTCTTGCCGGCTCTGAGCATTCTAAACCTTTGAAGGTTCTGATACCGTAACACGTTCCTTTTGTTTTAGCCCATTTCTTTTTTTTTTTTTAATTGTGAAAAAATATGAGTAAAGCACTGTGAGGAGATACTGCCCAGTATACACATGTTACTAAGTTCATTAGGAGTGGTTTTGTTCTGCCCTTCCTTAAGGCCCTCAAGGTCATCCAGTAAAAGCCAGGGTGGGGTGGGGGGTCCCCACTGAGCCGTGCAACCTTGGGCCAATCAGTGGGAAGACGCGGGGGGGGGTTCCCCTGCTTGAAGGTGTGCAGTAGAAGAAGATGGGCAGCCACTGAAGGAAGTTCTTGCACTGAACACCCAGAGCCAGAGGCAGTCTATCTCAGGCCACCTGATACGAGGAACCTCCCCTTTTAGAGCCATCCTTTTGGGGTAAAGAAAAGACTAGACCTGTGGACCGTGCTGTGCCCGATCGGATCAGAATAGAGTCCTTTCTCACAAACCACAAGGCTGGGGATGGGGAGGGGGAACCCCAAAAACAGACAAGAGTGCCGTTGGCATCTTTCTGCTTGTTGTCGCCCCCAGTGCCTGGTTTCTAAAAGCACGCAGACCCCTGAGACTGGAGGTCATATAACCCCCCCCCCGACCGGTCACCCCAATACAGTAGCTGTATCCTGTTCTCTGCTCTTCTTTTGGATGGTGAAGAGCTAAGCCTCTATCCTGAACTTTGGGAATATGCATTTCGCTGGGCAAGGTGGGCCAGGCCGTGTCCTCTGCTGGTGGTGGGCTCTTTATAATCGAATTTCGGCTGCCCTTGCCTTTTGCGTGATCAAACCCCCACCCCCTCCTCCCATAGAACAGCTTAAGTTTAAATGCACGCCCGCACTCTTCCCATAGATGTATAGATATAGGATGAGCGTATGCACGCATATATAGAAAGATTTCTCCTCCATGTGTGTGTTAACCGATGGTGTCTATTTTTAAGGATGCTTCTTCCACCCTTGGTGGGACTGGTTTAATTTGGTCTTTTGCCCGTCCGGCACATAAAAGCAAGCAAGTCACATTGGGGGTGGGGGAGAGGGAGCAGGCGCCAATAAAATCTAATTGCCCCATCGATTGCTCTCAGAACCGCCCGCCACTGCCGCCGCCGCTGGTTGCTGCTTAGAGATTGAGATATTCTTAACGCGTTTGATGCAATGCTTAGCTATATCTCGCTCTGCCTGGCTCGCTAGGGACTGCAAGGTATTACCGGGATCTCTTAATCACGGAGCATGGATGCGTGTGGGCGCTGGGCCCCCACAACCGCTCTCTCTGCCCGGCACCGAAAGATTTATTATAATTATTGCTGGGGAGCCTCGCTTGGCTCTGCGAGAACGCCGAGATGGAATTGTGCTCAACATGTGTGTGTGTGTGAGTGTGTAGGTAAAATTGCACAGTTAAACTCCCTCAAACATCGCCTTCCTGATAAGATTCACACAGGAGGAAAGTAAATTAACGAAGGAGCGTTGCTGGGTGGGCTTTCTTTAACCTGCCCTTCTGGCCCAATTACTCAATATTTTTGTTTCCCATTCCTTCCTCCCCCCCCCCTTTTTCCCCCCATTCATGCAGAATGAGCCTAAGAGAAGTGTTATGGAAAGCAGATAGTGTTTTGCGGCTGACATTTGCATGCATGTATTTCAGTGAAGGGCTTCCCAGCCTGAGTGTTCTTTAGCTTCCGAGCACCGGATGGGTCTCGTGGCTGCCTGGGTCGGCCCAGCCCTGCAGTTGGGCACAAGGAGGTGGGCCGCCTCAGGCGGCAGATTTGAGGGGTCACGAAAGGCAGCAGGTGGCTAGCTGTTCGCGTTGATTTTCCTGCCTCCCCCTTGTTTGGCTGGGGAGCCGAAAAAAAATCCTTACAAGATCCTTCAGCTGCTGTGACATAGCTTGTCTTGAGAGAGGCAGAGGCACCGTTTGCCGCTCTGACTCGGGCAGCAAAATATTTTGGGACGGCCTTGAATGCTGCAGCAGCAAACGGTTGGCTCACGCTGCTTTGCAGCAACACTTGTGGAGATAAAAGCTGTGGTTTCGGATCAAGGTGGGTGAGCTGACCTTGCCCAGTGGGTGAGGAATAAACAAGTGGAAGGCTATCCTTTAACCTGGGAGTGCTTCCACACTGGTGCTGGGTTGGGTCAGTGGTGTTCTCGCCCCTTCCCCTAAAACAGGGTCAAAATATACATGGCAATTAGTACTTCACTGGAAGAAGGAATTCCTGAAGACATCATCCGATTTCATGCTTCCCGTAGGTTGCAACTTAACTGACTCTGTTGTGTGATTGGTCTTTGGAGAGAAGCAAGTACAGCTGCTCAGTTGCAAAGGTTTTACCAAGTTGCATCTTGAAAAGCCAGCAGATTTCCGCATCCTAGTGTAATGGCTGCCTTCAATATATAGTTTGGCCCTCTGCTGAAGTGGCCCTATCTGCATGGAGCTGAAACGTCATGCCATCTTGCAGTGGCGTCTGGACAGGCCCACACGGAGCCAAAAGACCTTTGAGATCTTTAAAAGCTGTGTAGGGCTGGCACAGAGCCTTTCTCCCCTAGGTTTTTTGGTCTGTACTGCACGGCCGTGGAGAATGCTTTTTTAATGACTTGCTGGCTTGGTTTTTACCCAGGAAAGGCTCCCATAGCAAACTTACAAAGATCCGTAGTCAGGCAGCCCTTAGCTTCAGTTTACAGGTGTAAAGATTCAATGCAAAATAAATGGAGATAGAAGAGGAAGAACCTGAACTCAGGCACGAGGAAAATAGTTCAAGGAAGAGGCAACGGGGCCCCGGCGGACTCGACTGAAGGAACCGGCTTCTCTTTTTCTGACTTGCTTCCCTGTTCCCTTAGTAGTAGCGCTTATTAAAGTAGTCCCAACTAAAGGTTTGCTGAATCAATGGAAATTTAATAAGTCAACATTGCATAAGTTTCATTGATTCAGTGGGCCTATTCTAGGTGAACATTGCAGCTTGGGTTATGCCTTTATTATTATTA